TAATGTTATTCTTAGTCTTTTGTTTGCATTTCTGCTTTGTCATCTACGGTTGCTGTTGCGAAATCAGAATTTCATTCATTTAGTCAGTAAAAAAAAACATAAAAAACGGAATGCGTAATTAAAATAAAGCAGACATTCCAGTTAAGTAATCCAAATAAAACAAGCAATCTACCTCAGTGCAAAAACATGACGTATTTTCGCCATTCTTTTTTAATATTGTAAATTAAAAAAACAACAGCTTTGCCAAAGCCTAGAGTATAACTTTAAGGTTGAAGTGCGTTGACACAACCGCTGATTTGTTTGTAACATTCGCCAGTTCTTAAAAAGTTATGTTTATTTTAAATATCTTTAAACCGAAACAATTAAATAGCTGTGCTCAAAATAAGGGCTTTATTTTGATTATGTATGTAAAAGATAAAAACCATAATTTTTTTTGGCATTTTTCTCTCTTGAATAGAATTTGCGTAAAAAGTTTAAACATCTGGCAGCTGAAACCTACAGTTAAAATCTAGTTTACTTTCACGTTCTTTCGACCACGAAGATATCTGAAATAAAATTATTCACGTCCGCAAATCCTATGGGCTTTTGTATGTAGTAGTTTGAATGGAAAAAGAAAACGAGTTTATTTCCTTTTAGGTAGTGAATCAATTATAAACCGCTTACCGAATGAATGAAAGTGACATACCCAAAGGATCAAGTTTTGAGTTATGGGAAACCGATGAGGTAAACTTTTTTCCGTTTGTATTTTTTTTGCATTAACTAAAAGTCTGAAATATTAAAGAATCGATAATAAAAAAAGGAGATTAATGTTTGGATACAGTTTAGAGTGAAAAGTCGAGAAAATTCGTTGCAGAATAAACTATTAAACCATCTCTGCCAGATTGTTTTTTTAGTTTTATGAATTTTTAAGCGTAAGATCTTTGCATGTCTCATAAATCAAGTGAAGAAGGTGGGGTTTTGTTTGTCTCATCCAATTCTGTCAGAAAATTTCCTCCCTTTTCTTAAAGAAGCTTTCAAATTTTAAGCTTCATGCAAATTTCTTTAGATAAGTGTTCGGGAATTTTCACTTTTATACTATTATGCTCAGTTTTGCATTATTAAAATAGGATTGTTTATCTTGGAAAGTGTCTGTCACATTATTATTTATATAGAGGGGAATTCTCCAAAAAATAAAGATCAGATTTCGCTGAGGGAATTTAGGCTATAACTTTTATATGGATTTCTATCTTAAGCATTTCTAGTGAAAATTAATTTCAACAATATTCTCTGATAAATATCTGTTTGCTATGATCCATTTTAACATGCGAAAATTATTAAACGTGGATCTCTTGTTTCATGAAGCAGTCGAAAATATATCAAATGCCGGCACAGCTTTAGTATAGCCCACCTGGAATTTTAAACAAAAAAATATCACCAAGAGCGGCGATAAATGATATGATCTGGTAACCATACTATTCGCCAAACGCAATGTAAAAGGAGGATGGATTACGGTTACAGCTAATTAGTAGTCAGTTACATTTATTCAATTTCAATACAAATTACCGACTATCCGTTTACTCAAAGTTTAATGCACGTGCCCTGTATTCTTACTTTTCCGGTATAGATTTCTCTTAAAATTGTCTCACGTGCGTTGCAGGAGGAAATACAACATTTAAATTAATTCTACTAAAATTATATCTAAATGCATAATTCGTAACACTGTTATTGGCGATTGTTTAACGCTCAGATACCGTGAATCTATTTGTATATATATTTTGGCTACTGTGATATTTTTGCGTTTAGTTATTGCTTGCTCTAAAACTGTGTTAGTGTTGTTGTATTAAATATCAGGAGATATAAAATGGGAAGTTTTCAAACAAGCGCGTGGGAACAGTATATTTTATGTAGAATTAACAATAGAGTATGAACTTTTTAGAGGATTTTTTTGGATTGTCGATTATTGAAGGATAACGTTTTCTGTGAAAAATGCTTATTAGTTAGTCCTCAATGGTAGTATTTGCAAGAAAAGTCTGAAAATCAATATGCTAAGATCTTGATTCGCCTGTAGTAAGCTCAATTTTTCTAGAAACTTTTTTTTTTTTTTTCCAACGCGAATCAATGGAGTTGCTTATGCGCGAATTTCTGCAATTCTCCGATTTCTTTTAAGTGAAAGAAGATTTCTTAGTATATGAGCAATGCAGAGTTTATTCAATTTCTGATTTAAGTAAAAGAGATCGCTATATACATGGGCAAAGCCAATGCAGTGCGCAATTCCGAGTGTGCACGTGCCTAGTTTGTGCAATTCTAGGATGTTTTTAAGGAAAATAGATCGATGTGTAATGAGCAGAGCCAATGTAGTGCGCAATGCCGAGGTTGTGCGCGATGCCTAGTTTGTGCATTCTAGGATGTTTTTTAAGTGGAAATAGATCGATGTGTACATGGGCAGAGCCAATGTAGTGCGCAATGCCGAGGTTGTGCGCGATGCCTAGTTTGTGCAATTCTAGGATGTTTTTAAAGTGAAAATAGATCGATGTGTACATGGGCAGGCCATGTAGTGCGCAATGCCGTTTGGCGCTGTGCCTAGTTGCGCATTCTAGGATGTTTTTTAAGTGAAAATAGATCGATGTGACATGGGAAGCCAATGTAGTGCGCAATGCGAGGTTGTGCGGCGGTGCTAGTTGTGCAATTCTAGATTTTTTTAAGTGAAAATAATCGTGTGTACATGGGCAAAACAATGTAGTGCGCAATGCCGAGGTTGTGCGCGGTGGTGCCTAGTTTTTTGCAATTCTAGGATGTTTTTTAAGTGAAAATAGATCGATGTGTACATGGGCAAAGCCAATGTAGTGCGCTATGCCGAGGTTGTGCGCGGTGCCTAGTTTGTGCAATTATAGGATGTTTTTAAGTGAAAATAGATCAATGTGTACATGGGCAAAGCCAATGTAGTGCGCAATGCCGAGGTTGTGCAATTCTCTGATATTTTTAAGGTGGAAATAGATGGATGTGTACATGGACACCGAGCTTTGATGTTTTTCGGGCGAATACGGATCGTTGTTTACAAAGGAAAATGAGATAATGTGTGATGACGAGCTGTAATGTAATGTATTTTATATGCAATGTTTAACATATCGTTTGTGTATTTTAAATTTGTATTGTTGTTTTAATTGTGAATTATATTTAAGACATCATTTTTCATTTAAATTGTATTTTAATGTTTTGGTTTTGATATGTTTATAATGCTTTCCGACTTACGATATATATCGATAGCCCGACGATCTACTCAACAGTAGCAAAACTGTAAACTTTGACCCTATAAGTAACTTTTACCTCATTATTATAATACGTAGTGTTTGCAATCGTAATCGCACTTGATAATATGAGTTCTTTGATAATACAGTGTCTCACAAAAGTGATGGGACACTTATGCTTTACAAAAGGAAACTGTAATAAAATAAATTAAAAAAACATGTAAAAATGTTTTGTGGATGTGTTTCATACTTAAAATTTAGTAACAATTATTACATCACATACATTTTCTCAAAATATTAATTTAAAAAAAATACAATTGTTTAGAACGGAGCAAAAAATGGTTCACATAAGTGATGGGACACCATTAGATACTACTACGTACTATGCAACAAAAATCGTCGTCTGAAGTAAGCAATAAAAATATTTTTTGGGGTTTGTATTTTTACTCAAAGCAATTGGCAATAATTTATCGCAATCGTCTGCAGTATTTCTCTCCAGTTTGTTTTGGAATTTTTGTGTGTTTTTTATCTCTGTGCAACCATGAATGCTAAACGAAAAGAAAACTTTGCCTGAAATTCGAAAATTAGTGATTAAGTTGCATATTGAACGTGGAAATTCTATTAGAGAAAATGCTGCTGAAACCGTTAACCCGAGTCATTCAACAGGTTTTTAATATCATTAAACGATATAAAAAGAATCATATGATTCAGGATAAAGAAGACCTGGCCGACAATCAAAGCTATCCAATGGAACTAAAGAGAATTATCGTTTGAAATATTAAAAAAAATCCAAGAATGAGTGCTCCCAAAGTTGCTGCTGATTTACAAGCATTATATGGAGTAATTGTTAATCCTGAGACTATTGGAAGAGTAATTCGATTTGCTGGATATCACGGTAGAGCAGCCGGGAAAAAAATTCTTTCGTGAGTGAAAGAATAGAAACCTCAGACTGGCTTTCGCAAAATCCAACATAAATAAGAATTCTGATTACTGGAATGAAGTTATATTTGCTGATGAGAGTAAATTTAATATATTTGATTCTGACGGTAAAATCTTGGTGTGGAGAAAACCCAGGAAAGATTAATTAATTAAAATCGGTGCTTCAAGAAGAATGGGGTAAAATCACTCCAGAAATCGCACAAAAAATGAGTCGAATCCATCCCAAGAAGATTAAATCACATGTTTTAAAAGTAAAAGGAAATATCCAACAAAATATTAAAACCTTTTATAAAGTAAAATTTTTTGGATAAATATTTGATGGAAAAGTAAAGTGCCCCATCACTTACGTGAGTATCCAATCACTTAAGTGAGCCATTTTTTGCTCCGTTCTAAACAATTGTATTTTCTATTAAATTGATATTTTAATATTTTGAGAAAATGTGTGGTTATGTAAGTAATTGTTACTAAATTTAAGTATGAAACACACCACAAAAATTTTTACATGTTTTTTTTTTTAATTTATTTTACTACAGTTTCCTTTTAAAAGCACAAGTGTCCCATCATTTTTGTGAGACACTGTATGTGTGTGTGTATGTGAAGCATTGCTTAGTGTTCCTAATTTGTAGTATTTATTTTCTTATAATATTTTCTTTCATTGCGAGAAATTAAATTTTTCATTTATTTATGTGTAGAATTCTAGTATGCCTGCCTACAGAGAATATAATGTGATTTAGGAAATTTAAGAATCTGTTTCTCATTAATGTGAAGTTTCAAAATTTTTAGAAAATAATGAAAATTGTCTACCTACTGGTATATAAGGGATTATGTTGTTACGTAGCAAAATGTTAATTTGTAAATATGATAAAATTGATATGTTCCAGAGTATTAATTAAAAAAAACTTTTTTTTTATTTGTATAAATGCTAAAGCTTAAAAAATCTTTGAAAATATGGAAGCTGTATGAAATACAAGTATGAGAGACTGCGACGTTTTATCGTTGTAATAACTGGTTAGAATTCGCTTACTGTATCATGATAATTTTAAATATAAACAATTTATTATACTTATTTTCAGTTACGCCTAAGCTCAGAAATGTAAATTTAAAAGAATCTGATGTTAATTTACAATAATAAACAATTCATTAATTTTTTTAAAGAGAAAATAAAAATTACGCGTAGCATGGAGAATACATTACACGTAGCATGGAGAATACATTGTGACGTCACACACCAAATTATTTATTAAAGGTGAAATAGCTAAAGGTTTCCGGTATTGTTTTTAAAATTACATCCTTTTAACCTTAATCATTTTTATTAATCATTTCTTAATATTTCTTTCTCTTAAAACCGTGTATAATAGTCATAAACTTATTTCTATTATCCACGATTTCTGGTGAAATCAAGATGGCTACCATTTTTTTAAACACGGAGTTTCGTCGAAAATCTGGATGGCAACCATTTTTCAAAACAACGTATTGCTTTGGCGCCAAACCAAATTCGCCAAACTTTGAAGGTGGGCTATACTAAAGCTGTTCCTCAAATGCCCGTATAAAATATGATTA